TATAGGTGATTGTGGAATTGAACTAGATGTTTTTGAAGATTGAGATAATCGATACTGTATATCATGTTTATTATCAACTGTTGGTAGTGGTTGACTTGATGTCTTCTCGCTTTTACTAAATAACACTGATTGATTTTCAAGGGTTCCATTATTCAAATTATCCATCGAGTTTTGTTTAAAGCCAACTTTGTTGTCATCTACACTAGTTTGAATTATTTCTGATCCTTGTTTGTTCTGATACAATTCCTCGAGTTCTTTTATAAAATTGTTGTGCATTTGTATAGGAGATGAGTCTGGTATTTTGAAGCCTCCTGGTGAAATATTATTAGAATTATTGATTTGAGAAAATTGTAAATTTTTTTGTTGTTGAGAATATCCATATTGATTGGGAGTTGAAGTTTGGGTTGGACTACTAGATATAAAAGGTTGTGCATCATAATTAGAACTCTGTGAATCATGTGAACCGAGGATGGTATCCAGACTGGTACTTGGCATTTGATAAGAGCCTCCTGAATAAAAAGGCTCAACGTTATAACGATAATTATTTGCATCAGGCATCTAAATAAAAAATATGCATACATTTATTTTTTAATAATTACAAGAATAAATGAGCTTAGTAAGAATTAAAAAAAAAAAGATACAGGGCATTTAATTTCATAATAAAATTTACCCTGGTTTCACCAAAGAGTGGAGGTGTCCATACTTTTTGACCTTCCAACTTTGCTTCTGTCTTTGCTATTTCTTGCATCCTTTCTAATTTTTTAATCATTTCTTGTCGGTTTAATGCATCTGGATCAGCCTCGTTTCTTTGCTGCTCTTTTAACATATTTTCAAATTCGCGTAATTGAACCTTTTGCTCGGAAAGTTTTTCAATATAACTAGATTCAAGGTCAGCAAGTTTTGTTTGAAGAGTTTGAATAGTATGACGAGATATTCTTAGAAGTTCTTCAAGCGAATCAATTTTATTTTTAAGTTTTACGACAGTTCCATCTATATATATTTATTATTTAAAAACGTAAGTATTAATAATTTAAAAATGAAAATTCTATATAAATAAATAAATATAGAATTTACCTCCTTGACTATTATATTCACTTTGTAACTCTTGCTTTTCACGTAATGCCTTTTCTGCAACTGATTTTGCTTCTTTTGCTTCTTCCAAAGCAGTTTGAAGTTTATCCTGGTCAGTCAATTTACTGAGCATTTGGGAAACTGTTATACTAACATTATGGCCCCAATCCTGATCAAGTCCTCGTCTATCCAAAACAATCTGGGTAATCAAAGTATCAATAAATTGAAAATATCTTGTCCTATTTTAAAATGTAAACATTGCATTACTTGATTGTTTTTATTCGTCATAAATATAATTTAATTTTTAAAATATACATACCTTGATTCACCATCGTCGCGAATGAGTAAAATATGTTGTAAAGCTGACAGAAAATAATCGTAAGCACGTGTTCCTTCCACAGAAGCAAGAATACATTGGAATACATCATGAGGATCAGTAATAATATAAAGAGTTAAGGCAGATCTTGATACAATAATATGATTTTTATGGTGTTTTTTCAGAAAAAAAAGGATATGTCATATCTTGTAAAATCTGGCGATTATGATTATCTACATATTCTTCATAATCCAATTCACTTTCATTTTCAAATTTGGTTATTTGCCTATTAATCAATTCATGGTTAAATGATTTCATTTTCTAAAAAAAACCAAATAACATATTATTTTTGGAAATTTCAAGAAGAAGTGCATATATATATAATAATAAAATATTTAAATCTTACATCAATGATACGTGTTAAACCACAAGCATGTAATTGATTTCTTAAAACCAAACGAACTTCAACATCATCACATACACCAATTATTGAATTTACCAATATCAAATTTGATAACTAAACAACCAAAAAAACAGTAAGAGAATATATTTTGAGAACTTATTATGAAATATCTAATGAGCTAATGGAGAAGGAATTAAAAAGAATTGTTACTATTATAGTTTGATAAAAATTACCGAATATTCCATTAAAGAGTTATCGACACCGATTCCACCTTTTTTATATTCATCACTAGCATTAACCAAACTTCCTAATTTACCACGACCATCAATAGTATTTTCTAAAATTCTCATCCAGGCATCAAATCTATAATGCTCATTTTGAAATTGCATCAATTGATCGAATCCTCCTAATACCAAATTATGGCCAGTCGGGATTTCACAATAACAAAAGAAAGAAAGCACTTCTGCAACAAGTCTACGAGTATTAAGTTGAGATGAAACTAATGAAAATGTGATACTATAGATACAAGTTGGATGAGATAAGGCCTCTTGAGCTCCCCACTAAACAAATAAATAAATAAATTTTAATAAAAATATTTATTATTGTTATTATTATGTGAGTAAAACCTACTCTGTTATTTAATAATAACTTTAAACATTTGATAATCTCATATTCCATTAAAAGATCAACTTCTCTCCTAAGAGAATAAAATTGTTTTATTAATTGTTATAAAGATAAACAATTTAATGAATTAGCCAGTTTAACTATAAACATACTTTACAGGTTTTCTTGTAATACTATTTAAATAATTTGTAAGTACTTCCAACCCTTTCGCGTCAATGAATGATCTGACCCAACTATAAAAAATATAACAACAGCATACATAAAATCAATAAATTTGGTGATTTAATGATAATCAAAACCAAATTATAAAAACGGCCAAAAATTTTTTTCTTAAATTTCGAGTAATACTAACGTAATTGGTAAAGTTCTTAAGGAGACACTCAAAGAATTCATTATTTTGACAGTTATTGTACCATCCATTATTTTTTTAAGATAATATTCGGGGGCGTTTTTATCATGAGAAAGAGAAGAAGCACTTCCACTGGATATCTTATTTGCCTATTCATTAGAAAATAAAAATTAATGTATAAAATCTTCAACCACTTGGTAAATTAATAAATAATAATAAAGATTATAAAACTTACTCCTTCTTGCAACTTATCATTTTTTATCAAAACCCATTTTTTATCAGTTGGAATTGCCAACATTTGTTTTCTTTGAGATTCTGGAAGGTTTTTTAAATCCCTTTTATTCTAGTAAGAATAAAAAACTCGATATTAATAAGTAAACACATGTACAAATAAAGAGCTGATTAAGTCTTAATATTATTATTTAATAAACACCAATAACTCAAAGAATAACTCTTCGACTTCTTCATCAGGAGGTCGTGAAGAATCTTGTTTTGAGAAGGCGTCTTTATAATAATTTCCAGCCCATGCCTGTATTTCACTTGGAGAGAAAGCACCAGATGATCTGAAAGATGATTCAGAACTATACCGTGTAGAACTTGCACTATCGGAAAAGGAGGTTGTATTAGAACTACAGTAGTCAGAAGAAGATTGATTTCTTTTATGCTGGCGAATTATTGAATTATCCTGATGATTTTGAGGTGCTTCGGGAGATTGAGTTCTTTGAGGAGGATACTGTGGATAGTTTTGTTGAGGAGGATATTGTGAGCAGGTTGGTGAATTTATTGCAGGTCTAAGCTGACTATGTGAAGGAGTAGAATTAGTTGGCTCTAATGGTTGCCTTGGTTTCTTTTTTTTACCGAACATCCTAAAAATTACACATAAAATAAATAAATATAAATATATAAAATTATTGATCTATAAAATTATAAAATTATATAAAATTAGATCGTGTTTTCTTTTAAAAAATATAGATATGAAGGAAAATGATTTACTAATGATGATTTAGTTTAATCTTTAGATTATATAAGTCCTTTATAAAAACTCACCTTT